TTTTTTTTTTTTTTTTTTTTTAGTAATGGCTTTTTATACATGAGACATGATGAAATGTAACAGCTTTTTGTGCCCTTTTAGAAGTTTGATTATTCCCTCTCCTCCACTGGCCCTCCGACATTTCCATTAGGACTAAATTATTGCGAGCAAACACGTTCTTTCCTCAGTGTGACCAGACAGTGGCAGAACCAGAACCCTGCTCCCTCTGGCCACTGCTGCCAGCGTCCCATCTCTCTCTCCGCAGGTGCCCCAACTCTTACCCCAGCATTAGCCTCCTGTGCCCTGGGCAGTGTGCCCCAGGGGCCTTGCGGGGAGCCCAGCAGTGCAGGCTAGGGGTTAGGAGAGGCCCTGGGGGGGGTTCTAAAACTCAGCTGTGAGACTTCTGTCTTGTGCTCCGGCAGTCAAAATAGAGCCCTTTCCACAATTTGTTACAAGTTCATATCAGATGCATCTGTGTGCACAGACTCCACTAACGTAAACTTTAGGAACTCTTGAATTGAGCTAAAAAAGACACTGTTAGAGTCTTTGAGAGGCCACCTCGTCCACGCCCCACCTCCACACTTCCTGGACAGAAGGAAGGTGCGCTGAGCCCCAGGGCCCTCACAGATGCCCCCTGCGGCCCCCCTGCTTGCACAGAGGACCATCCTTAGTTTCTCACGGAAGCACCTCTGCTTCCACGGCAGTCTGTATCCACGGGCTGACCTCCGTTAAATGGGAAGAACGCCAAGTACCTTCAGATCATTTTTTAAAATACTCTTTCCCTATTATACGAAATCATCATGTTGTCATTGCCGAAAACCTGAAAAATACATATTTTTTAAGTGTAGAGAAGGGAAAAAAAAATCTCTATAATGTGCTAATGACCACCATTAGCCCTGGTGTATTTCCTTCCTTCCGTGCTTCTTCGCAGCATACCTGAAAAGTCACATCCTAAATTCAGTTTTGTATGCTGTGTTCTTCACTTAATGTTTTCCCCCGGCTGTTTTTGTTGAAAGCTTTTTAAACCTGCCAGTAACACCCATAGACACTTGACATGGGTTCTTCACACTTGACACTTGACATGTCACCGGTTGCTGACATTACGCCGTATCTACTCCTCCCTCTCCACATACACACGCTTCACACGCGTCTTTCTTTGAACCATTGGAAAGTAAGTTGCAGATGTCATGAGGCTTCACTCTTAGGGACTTGAGCGTGTAGTTCCTAAGAACAAGGACATTCTGCAACATTACCATAATCACTTCCAAGAACGCTGACATTGATACCGTAATATTATCATCTCCAGCCTATATGCAGATTTACCCGGTTGTCTCAATAATATCCTTTCTATCTGGCTTTTTTGTTTGTTTTTGGAGAGGAAGAATCCAGCATCCAAAGGTCATACAATATGTATTTAGCTTCTAGGTCTCTTCACTCTCCTTCTCATCGTAGCTGCTATTTATTTTTGAACATGTGCCAGCCTCCACAGTCAATACACTCCATACCAGAGTTTTCTAAACTGTGGTAAAATTCACCAAATGCAAAGCTCACCATCTTAGCCATCTTCAAGTGTACAATGCAGAAGTTTTTCGTGTATTCACGGGGCTGTGCAGCCATCACCATTACTCGACTCCAGAATATTTGCATCACTCCAGAAAGAAACCCCATACCCATTAGGCAGTCGCTCCCCAGTCCTCTCTCCCCTCCTCCAGCACTTGGTGACCACTATTATATCTCTGTAGATTCGCCTATTCCGTACATTTCATTTATTTTTTATTAAAAAAAAATTTTTTTTAACGTTTATTTATTTTTGAGACAGAGAGAGACAAAGTATGAACGGGGGAGGGTCAGGGAGAGGGAGACACAGAATCTGAAACAGGCTCCAGGCTCTGAGCTGTCAGCAAAGAGCCCGACACAGGGCTCGATCTCACGGACTGCGAGATCATGACCTGAGCCAAAGTCGGATGCTTAACTGACTGAGCCACCCAGGCGCCCCTGGACATTTCATTTAAATGGAATCATACAGGGGCGCCTGGGTGGCTCAGTTGTTTAAGCACCCACCTTTGGCTCAGGTCGTGATCTCACGGTTCATGAGTTCGAGCCCTGTGATGGGCTCTGTGCTGACAGGTCAGAGCCCGGATTCTGTGTCTCCCTGTCTTTCTCTCTCTTTCTCTGCCCCTCCCCAGCTCACACTCTCTCCCTGTCAAAAATAAAGAAACATTAAAAAAAAAAATAAATGGAATCATACACACCCATATGGCCTTTTGTAACTGGCTTCTTTCATTTAACACGGTTTAAGGGTTCATCTGCATCATAGCATCTATCGGGGCTTTGTTGCTTTTCATGGCTGCATACTATGCCGTTGTATGGCCATGCGGTGTTTTGTTTATCCGTTTCTCGGTTGATGGGCATTGGGTGGTCTTCATTTTTTGGCCGTCGTGAATAACGCTGCTGTGAACATTCACACACAAGTTTTTGTGTGAGCGCATCTTTTCAGTCCTCTTGGGTACATGCCTAGGAGTGGAATTGCTTGGTCACGTGGGAACTCGATGTTCAACTTTTTGTGCCACCGCCACACCGTTTTCCGCAGTGGCTGCCCCACTGAACGTTCCTGTCAGCGGTGTAACCAAGGTTCCAGTTGGCCCACATCCTTGGCAGTGCCTGCTTTGTTGCTGCTGTCATCATCGTCACTGACATCTTCGTGGGTGTGACGTACCAGTACACCAGTCGCTGTGGTCCTGATTTCCATTTCCCTCATGACTAGAGATGTTGAGCGTCCGGATTTTTGTTTCATTTATTTATAAAGATCCAGCATGTGTTGCTAGAAGAGAAGCATCATTCTGTAGAACGCATTCTTCATCTCAGCTGTGTTGCTCTAGTCTCCACGGTGTCTGCCCCACCATGGCCCTGCTCCAATGTCTCAGCACTCCTCTTCCGTTGTAGAGTATAGCTAAGACATTCCATCCCCAAGCCGACCATGGTATTCTGATCGGTTCTGGAAGCTGGTTTTTTTGTTGTTGTTTTTTTTCTCCCCAGGCAGGTGCACCTTGGTAAAGATCATGTGTCTTTAAAATTTAAAAAAGACCTTATTGAAGAGCGGCAAAGAGAAAACGCCAAATACAAGGTCAGAATCACTGTTAGTTTGATGTCGCTGATTGCACTCGATAGATCGAATTCCGGCTATATGCAAGATGCCACATCAGGAGAAAGAAAATTTAAAGTTGGGGGGAGGAAGCTGATGACAAGTTCATTGTTAACCATAAATCAAGGCCGGCCGTAAGTGTCACAAGAGACCTCTACTAAGTATTGTGGGGATTTCGAAGCCAGAGAGATGAGAGAACTCATTTAATTGAAAAGCTTCCTGGAAGACACGGTATGATTTTGAAAAGCAATAGAGAGGACAGAGGCATTCAATTCAGAGGGAGGGAAACGCCTCAAATTCAGGTTGGAATTCTGGACATTAGGTGCATCTGTCCTGTATTCTGCAGAGCATGAAAGTAAGAGGGACACAAAGACAGTGGCCAGGAGCCATGCCAGAGCCAGACAAAAGGTCCAAGTCAAAGATGCTCAAGGGGGCTAAGCAGAGAGCAGGAAACCGGTTGAGAGGAGGGAGCCACGGCTGGGTCGCCAAGGCGGCACCTGTGGATTCAGGGAGCGGGGGGTGGAGACGGGAATGGTGGGGCTGGATCACACCCCTGGGTTTGTCATGGCATGAGAGATGTTGTTCCCTGAGGACAGGTGCAGGGGACACTGGGGACAGGCCTGTAGTGGCCAAAGCACAGGACACACACGGGCCAGAGGAGATAGGGCTTCATTTGCACCTCCTGTCTCGGGGGCTCGGACTTTGGTGGTAAGACTTGCAGAATCACCACATGTCCTGTTGGCCTGCCGGGGCTGCCATAGCCAAGTACCACAGAGTGGGTGGTGTGATCAACGGAAATGTATTTTCTGGCCGTTCTGAAAGCCCAAGATCAAGGTGTTGGCAAGGTTGGCTCCTTGTAAGGGACATGAGGGAATGATCCCTCTCGTTGGCTTGTAGATGATCGTCTTTTCCCTGTGACTTCATAGTTTCTGTGTCCAGATTTCCTCTTATAAAGGACACCAGTCACACTGGAGTAGGGCCCACGCCATGACCTCATTTTAACTTGATTACATCTTCAAAGACTGTATCTCCCAATACATCCATATTCTGATGTGACTAGGGGTTAAGATTGCAACATATGACTTTTGGGGACATAATTCAGCCATAACACATATATTTCAGCCCGGGAGTGTGTGCTTCCCACAGTCAGAGACGCACACAGTGGCAGCATTGGGTAGGAGGGACTGCGGAAAAATAGGTATGTTGTCAGATAGGAATATTTTTCTCGTATAGAATACATTTCTCTTCCTCTGTTTTCTTCTTGATTAGAGTCTAAGTCAAGTATCTGAATAAATTTACCTTACTTTTCTTTATTTTTCATGAGATAGACAAAAGAATGTAAAATCATTGCATTAGTAAATCTTAGCATTGAGGGAAGGCACATATTAGATTGGCATTTAAATTTACGTTGATGAGTAGATCAGTTTCTCCATATGTGATTTTCAAAACAAAATACCAAGTTTTCTGTCCACCCTACAGTGGGTGATGTTTTCTTAAAGAATTTTTTTTATGTTTATTTATTTTTGAGAGAGAGAGAGAGAGAGAGACAGAGCGTGAGCAGGGGAGGGGCAGAGAGAGAGGGAGACATAGAATCTGAAGTAGGCTCTAGGCTCTGAGCTGTCAGCACAGAGCCTGATGTGGGGCTCAAAGCCATGAACGGTGAGATCATGACCTGAGCCGAAGTCCAGCGTTTAACCAACTGAGCCACCCAGGTGTCCCTTATTTATTTATTTTTTTGATGATAATTTCTAACATATTTTTTGTATTTTTTGTATTTTTTTTAACATTTATTTATTATTGAGAGAGCATGAGCATGGGAGGGGCAGAGAGAGAGGAGGCGACACAGAATCAGAAGCAAGCTCCAGGCTCTGAGCTGTCAGCACAGAACCCGACGCGGGGCTCAAACTCACAAACCACGAGACCATGACCCGAGTCAAAGTCGGACGCTCAACCAACTGCGCCACCCAGGCACCCCTCTAACTGTTTTAGAGATGAAGGTGATACAGACATGGCACGACCAGGTCAATGTGACCGTTAGGGCTGGAATTGCCAGCATTTGGTGGATGGGCCAACCCAACTGTGCGTTTGCGTGGCAAGTGTGCTTAGTGAATACTCACTGTCTGTAAGATTCTGCTGGAGAATAAGCCACTTTACCTGCCCTCAAGAAGGGCACAGTCCAGAAGGGGCAGAGAAACATGAAGGGATGATTTAAAAATGTACCAACTGCAGTAATTAAAAGGTAAAGAAAGGGAGAAGATAGGGTGATTCCTAGGTGTCCAGCTCGATGCTTGCTGGAGATTTTAAATGAGATCCCAAACACCAAAGAAGGGGGAAGATGAAAATTTCAGTTTGGGGCATGTTGTTGGGGGGACTGGAGGGCATCCAGGTGGCGGCTGAAGGAACAAGTCTGCCTCAGCAGAGAGGGAGCCACTAGACCACAGAGGAGCCCGGTGACCTGGGGAAAGTGAATGGTGCGAGAAGCTGGTAACTCAAGACTGGACATCTAGAGAAGCTCCTGATTTGAGGGAACAGCAGCGGACGATGGAGAAGACAGAAGGGAAGTGGTCAGGGAGGTCAGGAGAAACGGACAACGCTGAGAAAACCGATGGGGGAGAGATCCAGGATGGCAGGGCCTGAGAAGAACCCATGGCGTTTGGCCATTCGGAGGCCTTTGTTTGCCTTAGCGACGGCAATCCTGGGAGACATGCGGAGGTAAAAAAGCCAAATTGCAATTGCCTGAAGAATGTATGGAAGCGAGTAGATGGTTTCTTGAAAAGTTGAGATGAGCAGGGGCGAGGAGTCAGGGCCTGGACCATTAGAGGGGGATGAGGTGTCTAGGAGGTTGGTTTCTGAGTTGGCAGACTCGGGCGTGTTTGTACACGGAGAGCAAAGAGCAATCCCAGAAGAAAAGGCTTCTCTGGTCCAGGAAGCAGAGACAGCCGTGAACAGGGGCTAGAGAGAGGCCCGCAGAGAGTAGTGAGCGTCCACAAAGGTGCCCGAGTAGAGCAGGAAAGGAGCCGTCACACCCTTAACAACACCCACCAGGACCCTGAGCCCCAGTGCAGGGGGACTGTTGCAGAGACCCTATTCTGTTGTGTCCGGGATTTCATCTGGCAGCCGAATCCTGGCAGGTGACCCAGCGGCAAAGAACACCTGGAGGCCCAAGGCAGGTGGCAGAAAGGCGAACGAGAGAGAGCTGGAGGGGGGTGTGGAGGGAGCGGAGGGAGTAGGCATTATAGCAGGATGATGGGCTTTTCCTCGGGAGATGATCAATGATAGTGAATTCCAAAATGCGCATTGGAAATAAGTAGAGTCTTGATAAACGTATAATACATCACCCTCCTCTCTCTTCTGGCTACCAACCTATTTGCCATTCCCTTCTTTAAGGTGCTTATTTTATTTTATTTTTAGTCATGGTGAAGGTCTGGTGTCTCCCCCACAAAATCTGTGTTTTGAAGCTAAGATCCACAGTCAGCTCCCAGATACGTGCACATCAGAGCTGCACAGCTTACCCCCTGGTGACAATAATACAGTTCTCTTGTTTCTCATGTTAGTGTGGTGATCAGAGTACCTTTCTTTCAGTTAGGTCTTTGGAAATGATTGCAAACAGGGGCGTCCGGGTGGTTCAGTCAGTTAAGCATCTGACTTCGGCTCAGGTCATCATCTCTCGGACTGTGAGTTCAAGCCCCGCGTCGGGCTCTGTGCTGACAGCTCAGGGGCCTGGAGCCTGCCTCAGATTCTGTGTCTCCCTCTCTCTCTGCCCCACTCACACGCTGTCTCACTCTCTCAAAAATAAATATTTAAAAATAAATTTTTTTAAATGATTGCAAACAGCGTATGCACAAAGCAAGCTAGATTTAGAAGTCACTTAAATAATAAAAACCACAGGTAAAAACCAGTAAGTTTTTGCAGTGTGCACAGTCCCCTTTTCCCCGAAAGCAGGTGTATGTGGGGATATCAATCCAAGCCCAGCCAGTCAGCCTTCCCGGGAGTGTCCCAGTGTCCCGGGGCTCCTGGTTCAGGGGAAGCAGGAGGTGAGGGAGGGGAGCAGCCTGGGGGGACACTTCCTCCAGGGAAGGGGCAGATCCCCATCCACCTGCACCGCCCAGGAGAGGGGGAGGGATTATGGGGCCTTTGTTGAACCTGATGCTGAGATAATCCACTCTGAAGAGCTTGAAACTTTACTGAGACATTAAATTTCTTTTAAATGAAATCTCTGCACTCCCGTAGCTACACGGTTTTCTAAAATACTTTCTGTGAATTTTAAATGTCTTGGAAATGATTGCCAGAGCCACTGTCCCCTGGTTATGAAAACAAAGTGCTGGGTCCGTGCGTCTGTAACCAACCCCCATGTTGAAACAGTGAGTGTAATTATAATGGTCACTTGAAACTTCTGTCAGGCTCCCAGCCAGACCTCATGGCGGGTGTGGCCGATCACTTGATGGGTTGCTGTCAGTTTGAAAGAGATGCAACGTTGTGCGCGTTTGTATTCAATTTAATATTTTTGTTGATTAAAAAACCCAGCTAGATAGAGGAGATCCCATTTTGGATGAGGAATTTCAGCGCCTCAAGACAGAAGTCAGCCACAAACGGGTTGTTCATAATCTGGAAGAAGTAGGTAACTTTCCTTTATTTGGGACCTAATTTTTGGTAGCCCTTTATGATGCTTATTTTTATTATTTATTTAATTTTTTGTTAAATGTTTATTTATTTTTGAGAGAGACAGAGACAGAATGCGAGTGGGTTAAGGGCAGAGAGCGAGGGAGACACAGAATCCGAAGCAGGCTCCAGGCTCTGAGTTGTCGGCACAGAGCCCAACGTGGGGCTCGAACCCACGAATCATGAGATCATGACCTGAGCCGAAGTCAGATGCTCACCGACTGAGCCACCCAGGGGCCTATAATGCTTATTTTTAAAACACTGAATAATTTTATAGAAACACTTCCACTAAGAGAGGCTTGCTAACTTTTAATTTACATTTACATTTTAACATACATTTTCAGAGTGGTTTTTTTGCTACATTTTTGCAAGCGAAGCATCAAAAGTCATTCATTAATGTTACCCTTGAAATGAACGGCTTTAAATTCTTTGGCTCTTCTCTGCCTCTCTACTTTCTCCTTTTTGGATCTTTTTTGTTGTTGTTTCCCTTTGCTCTCTAAGCCCCTCTGCAGGTCCTCGAGGTGGGTCCCAGGGCCTCGTTCCTTGCCTCCTGCATGACAGGAAGCCAGAAGCCAGAGTCGTGGTCCCAGCTCTACCACAGAGTTGGGACCAGGGAAAAGCCCTCTTAGCCTCTGTGCCTCAGTGTCCTCAAACATAAAAAGGGGACAGTGGCCCCTCCCCCTGAGAGTCCTCTGTCATGTGATAGTGTCTGGTTAAAACCCCCAATTTTGGGGCGCCTGGGTGGCGCAGTCGGTTGGGCGTCCGACTTCAGCCAGGTCACGATCTCGCGGTCCGTGAGTTCGAGCCCCGCG